ATCACGAAATCAACCATAGAGAAAAGCGCATTGGATAGATTTGCGCACACATAGGCTTACAGCAACAAGAATCTGTTAGAATCCATACTTTGATGTGTGGATGTCACTTGAGACAAGAAACATACAAGAATTAGGACATTAAAAATACAACCACTGCTGTATTCAGCATCTTCAGATCTTACCAATGACTGGGAAACACAATAGCTTGTAGTGAGAGCTTGCATTCCAAAACAACCAACACACTGCAAGAGATTAAAACAATTATTCAAGATTGGACTACTAGAGAGAATTGCAATCATTTGCATACCTGCTCGATCCCAAAGTTGGCGAGCAATATCCAAAATTTACTAGCGAATAGCTAAATCAATCAATTTATGACAAAACAGACTTCCTTCCAACAAACAAAATAGTGCATACTTACACCATCTGATTTTTCAAATACAAGACCTTTCCTAAGCTAGACTCAGGAAAGTGACCTCGAGAAAAAACTCAAGAAGAATTGAGAAAGAAAAACTCGATTGAAGACTCAAGACAGAAGAGCTTGACTTCACATTTATACTATAAAATCAAAACTTGCAACAGACTCAAGATGTAAGAGCTTGACTTTGCAATCTATAAAGAACAACAATTGACTCAAGACAATTTAGGCGAAACACAAATTCAGGAAACTTTCCTCAACATTCAAGTTGAGAAGACTTAGCAAACTGAATGTACAAACAAAAACCAAACCCAATCAAGATCCGGGAAAGAGAACTTTGACAAAAGAATCAAGAAGTGAAAAAGGAAGAGGTAGTGAAAGAAAAATTAGAACAACAACAACGACAAATTTTAGAAACGATTTTAAACAAGTACGACAAAGAGGATAAACAAATTCAAGTTGCTAAGTTGAGAAACCCAAAGAGATAACAAAGAACTGAATATCAAAGACGCCCCAAAGTTTGAGACATTTGAAGAAGCAGAATACATAGCACTAGATTACTCAAATCCGGACTCACCAAAACAACAACTCAACCAACAAAGTCTACAACCACCTATGGCAATCATCAATCCAATGAGTACAATTGGAAGCATGGTTACATATCCAATTTTCACGGGAAGTAAGTTAGAAGATTCAGAATTACATGTAAAACAATTCAACCAAATTGTCAAAATGAACAATCAAGAACAGCATCAAGCCATACTTTTCCCATACACACTTAAAGGAAAAGCTCTTGAGTGGTATCATACACTAGAGGATTCTGTACCACATGACGAGAAACTTGAACAATTCAAGGAACAATTCCCAGCTGGAGGAACACTAGAGGAGCATTATGAGCAAATTAAGAATATAAAACAGTGACCAAAGGAAGGAATTCAAGACTATACTAGACGATTCAAATTACATGCAAAGAAATGTAAAGATCTCATCACCGACAAAGGCAAGAATTTGTTTTATATACAAGGATTACAAGAAGCCTATTGCAACATGATCGCATTGGCTGATACACCTGATGAAGAAAGTGTTGATTCACTGTCTCAAGGAATCTTAAAACTTGAGAAATGGTTTAAGCAGTTCACTAAAGGTGAATCTTCTCATGTTAATGATGACTGGGATGATGAAGAGGAAGAAATACTAATCAGGACCAAAAAGAAATAGATACAGGGAAAAGACATTAGACATGTATTGAAGAAATTAGCTTCAACAGAACTTAAACAAAAAATCTTTTGTACAAAATGCAAAAATGAAGGACATTCTATTTCAGACTGTAAATTCCATTTACCCAATGTCAGATTTGTGATAGAGAAGGACATATAGCCAAGAATTGTTGATATAGGAATACCACCAAAGTTTCAAGAGTGGACAATATTCAACGAGGAACACAACGACAAAATTATCAAGGAAACAACAACCAAGAACAAAGACCACCAAGAAATTATTATTACCAAGATAATCAACAATATAATCAAGGATATAATCATGGATATAATCCCCCACAAAATCAAAACTATGGTCAAGGGCAAAATGATTATAGAGGCAATTACAACCAACAACGATACAATGGACACCAAAACAATTATCAACGTTCACAATGGAACAACTACAACCAAAGCCAACAAAGGCAATATAATAATTACAACAATCAAGCATCGCAACAGAATTATCAACCAAGACAAAATCAGCCACAAAAAAATCAAATTCATCAACAATACAATCCACAAAACCAAAGAGTCAATCAAGCTCCTACTGAAAGACCACTAGCAACACCAGTAATTCAAGCAGCAGTTGCTGTAGAAGATGAAGAACAACTAAGGACTAAAGAACCAGAAGTTTGGCAATCACAAGAACACAATATGAATGTCAACATCCTAATAATTATGAAGAACAAGATGAAAGTGATCACACATTAAAAATCGAGAATACTGAGTGGAAAAAGAGTAAGAAAATACTTAACACCATTTAACAAGAGCTTTAAAACAAAGATCCCAAAATTATTAATGATCAAATATACAATCAAGACAACCAAACTCAAGTATTAAACTTTACTCAAGATGAGCATACAACCATTGTCGAGCACATACTACAGTAGGGAATTACTTTAACCCTACAACAAATATTGCAAATAGCACTATATATGAAAGACCAAATCTTAAAGATATGTAATCGAAAGATCCCTGAAGCCCACACACAAGAAAAACACCAATCTTAACCAACACAACAAGAACAAGCTAAACGAATTCAATCCGGTGATTATGATGATAATGTACCTTGTATCAATGTACATATCGGCAAAAATCATATTGAAAGAGCTATCCTTGATGGGGGTTAATATCATTGAATATGCACTATGCAAAGCTTTAGAATATGCACTATGCACATTGAATCCGACCAAGAGGGCTATAGGAGCTGCGTCAATAACTCCACTTCCTGCCAGGCCTACATAACGTACCAAGCTCTCCAAGATGACACTCTCCAGCCAGTCGGCCTCTGCTTTCGATTGAGCGTGGAGCAGCTTGCTGAGGCCTTGCAAATTGCCCAATGTATGACACGTGAACTGTAATTTGTGCCCTAAAATGGAAATTACATTTCCAGTGATTTCAGCAATTTGATCCTAGTGATTCTAGCACTGTTAAGCAATGGTGCCTAATTGGGCATGGTCCCATGTTGCCAAACTCACTCTTTATGCTTCTAGAAAAGGAGTTAGAAAAATTGAAGAAGTTGATTTATATGCACAATAACACTATAGTGGTGGATCATGTTGAAAATGAAAGAATGAAGTTCTTAAAGATCAATCTTGACACAATTGCAATTAAACCATAATGGATGAGAATTTAGCCAAGAGATGCAAGCTAGGCTTGAATCCCTTGGTATAGAGGATTTAGCCAAAAAAGATATTCCAAATGAAAATGTGATTGTTGAGGAAGATACTAAAGATATCAAAGAAGTTACTGGAGATGTTGAGAAGATGAATAGTAGTTGATTTGGTTTGGTCTAATGCTTTGGTTTTCCTAGTTTTATTAGTTTGGTTTTACTAAAAATATTTTCTTTTAATCAAAAAAATTTTATGAACTGTTTGGCCGTTCGGCACTTTCACAGCCAGTTAATAACCATAGTCAGTTGGTTGGTTAGTTGCCATTCGAAATGGTTAAAACCAACTTTAGTTGTGGATATATGTGCTCAATGTGGCTATGGCTAATGGTTAAGGATTTTGCTTAAAGTTTCACTTTTACTTTAGGTTGTTGGAAGTGTGGCTATGGTGGCTTTTGGCTATGTTGCTAGTCGACATATGCTCCCTGGTGGATCCTTGGTCATCCTTGTATGGCTATGGCTGTTGAGACCTTTGATTTTGGCCATGTTTTCTATTGATAGGTTTTTTCTTTCAGATCTAATACTAACTTTGTTCTAAATGGTGTAGTGCACCTTGGAATTGGCAGATCTAGTAAGCAATTGCATGTTAGATGTCCCATTTTTGGTCGACAGATGTCTATAAGGTTTCAAGGTCTTGCTTCGCTACTAGGTGTTTGTGTTTGGCCTGTGGTTGTGATTTAATTCACAGCTTGCCTGATGTGTGCTACATTTGTGTTCACGAGTTTAATCTTGCTTGAGGGTTTTGTTTTGTTTGTATTCACTAGGCGTGGATGTTTCTTTCGCTCTGTGGTCTCACTTGTTGTTTTGCCTTCTGGCCATTGGCTATGGCTGCAAGTGGACCTTGTTGTGGCTGGCTGTTTTTTCCGTGTTGGCTTAAGTTGGTTGTTGTGTATACAGAAAATGTGTCTTGGCTTTGGAGATGCTTATTATTCTTTACTAGGCTGCCTACAAGTGCATTTGTCTTTTGGTGGTTATGTTATGGCGTTGTAACTGGTTTCTTGGTTTTTTTTTCTTACTTATTCTATTGTTTACAGAAACAAAAATAACATATTGGTGTGACGCTTATATCTCTCTCAAACAGCCAGCAGCAGTACAGAGGATAGCAATAGGACAGAAGAGGATCAACACTGAAACATTTAGTTTTTGTCACTTTTAAGTAAATAAAGTACAATAGTATTGTCACTCTAAGCTCTAAAATTTTTTCCATAGTGTCTCTCAATGTTATGCCATCTTTAACTAAATAAAAAGACCTTTATGAAAGGTAGCTTGCATCATGGTTAAATCTGTCAAGGTTAAAATCTTCTATGAACCTATCATTCCATGTGATCATTAAGTTATGCAACACGCAGCAAGCCATGATGTTGTTCGCAAATATGCCTGAATATCCTCTAAATCCCTTCCAAGCTAGTAATTTCCTCTTTAAAATTCCAAAAGATCACTCGACAAAAATCCTCATAGAAGAATGAAGGAAGTTGTATTGCTCTTTGCCATGAAACCAATTTGGATATAGGACCAAAACCGGTAAAGCACAATTATATCTTCCATCAGCAATGATATACTATGGAATGTCCCCAAACTCTATGTGGTACACTCAACCACATAAACAATTCTTCTCAATCCAAGCCTTTTTCAAGCCACTAGAATTCCAAACTCATTGATTTGGAACACTATTTACTATCCATATTGTTATGTCAAGGAATGAAGTCTTACTGTTTACCATGGCTTGAACTACCATCAAGTAGTACTTTTTTGCCTTAGCATACCAATCTGTTGCATCCTCTAATCCTGGGAGCTCGGTTGCAAAGTGAGTGAAATCCATTGCACCACAACAGTTTGGGAATTCATACAAATTCTAAAATCTTACTATAACTTCATTTATTCCCTTATCATCCAGCCAATAGATCATTAGTCCTTCATGCTCAAGCAATGCATACCTAGAATAGCATAGACAAACTTGAGTAGTGTATGAAGCCACTCCAAATGCATCACCAATTGTTTGCCCAATCCCTAGATGCCAAGCTTTTCAAAGCAATAGGTACTTGCTTTAAAACAGGCAAGTGCCACCTTGGTATTTTTGCCAAACCTAGAGGAGACCTCTTAGCCAATTTTGGAGCAAACTCATCATAAAGAAAAGTGAATATAGATACTAAAACCTAAAAAACTTTTCTAAATCTTTGTGGATCTATATGAAGAACCTCAAGCTCTATTTGATACCACCAATGGAAACTTCTCAACTTAATGTAATATGCACTAATCGATAGTCCTAAGAGCTCCTTTTTAGTGATCACTCTCTCAATAAATGAAGTTGTAGTAGGACATAGCATAGAAAGCACTATAGCAATTGCTTTCTCCACCATTTGAATAAATAAGAGCTTTCTTGAAACCAGAATTAAGATCATGTCCTCCTCCTCCAAAAAGAACAACTTTACCAAATTTAAGTACCTCATCATAATCCCTACAAAATGGGAAATGATCTGTAGTCTATGTGGTTTTAACCCTTTATTATATGGCGATTTACCATAGGATAATGATAAAGTGGAACTAAAACCCTCTATATGCCATGTATCACATGCCATATGTCCAAAGACAATGGAGTGGAACCCAAATTTCAGGGCCTTGAGCCACTGAATGAAGGGACGATGCCAAACTCCTAAGCATAGAGCCAAGGAGTGAAGAAACTGGAGCACGGAGTGACTCCCAAGTGTGCAGCCCAAAGAGCGAAGGGATAGAAGTATGGAGCAACTTCAAACAGTTCTAGAGTGCCCAGTATCCCAATGCCAAGACCAGCATGCAAAATGAAGCCAAACGAAGTATAGCACTATTTCAGTATACTAGTGGCTTAATGCGAGGATATGGGTATTTCACTAGCTAGTATGGTGTGAAACTTAAGCTTAGACCCAAGCTGGATGCAAAACAAGGACAAGCACATAAGAGGGAGCTAAATTATGCCTCAAGTTGGTCGACAATACCCGACCTACCCACTATCTCTACCATATATTTGCCCCCCCCCCCCCCCCCCCCCACCTTAAGGAACACATGTTTTGGGCTTTCACCCTAAGCCACCCTTAGTACAAGGAGTTAGTCTCTAGAACTAACTCAAAACTTACTAAATATGGAATAACACTAGATTATGAATTTGGACATAGGACCAACACCATTGTGTTCAAGACAATCTTTACATTCCATAAATATGCCAAATTAACAAATCAAAACACTTTCCATAAATAGCAATTGGGACCGATTGGAACTAACACAAGAGGTATGATAAAAAGGGTGTTTGGCGAACACAATATGCTATCATCTTGCGAATATTGAAAGACTAAGCTCAATAACACAAGGGTTCTCAACACTAACAAGTGCAAGCTAACTATTCATTTAGCTAAATTTAGCTATTCATGAGTTTAGCTAACTAAATGAATATTATAAGACACTCATTCATGCCAACTATCGCACTAGCTAAGCCAAATAAATCTTAGTCAACCATACTATAGAACTTAAGTTTCTTAAACAAGAGCTAACAACATTTTATTGATGTTTTAAACTCAAGAGACCAATCCAGAACAAACCACAAAGACCATGTGGTGATGTAAAAAACCATAAACCATCAAAAAGAATAACTAATTATCATGAAAGATCATCAATCATCTCATCAATGAAGAGATTTATAATCATCATTGAAGAAAAAATCCACCATTCCAAAAAATAATAAATCAACAAGCAGTAATCAAACAAAAGCTTTGACAAGAATAATCAATTATCCCAAAATGATAGTCATTCATTATCAATGATTGCTAAATGTGAAGGCTAACTTTAACATCAAAGCTAATGAACTAAAATGCCTTCCCCAATAACTCTTAACAAATGAAACAATGAACATAAAAACTCAAAGAACCAAAAGCTTAAAGAAGCCTATACTCAAGTCTTGCATAATAATGATTACGAGTTTTGTATGGATTAACTTCAATGCTAAAGAAGAGATTATGGTACAATTCATAATATCGTCTTCAATATATCCATAAGCTAAATTTCATAATGCAAAGCTAATGAAGAGCATTTCTACATCAATCCAAAAGCTAAGTATAATAAAGCTATGTTTAACAATTGACCATCAAACTGATCCTCCATGAATCTATCTGTAGCAAGACGTAACTCACTTCATAATAAGCACAAAAAGAATCATCAATGATTAATATATCTCAACACAAATCCAACAAAGAATTAACATTTTCAATATCGATCATCAACTCTTCTTTTTGTAAAGCTAAAATAGTCCATGACTAAATCACTTTTCAAAGAAAAGCCAAAGCTCAATATTTACTAAACAATCTCGTCTAGAACACAATTAACTCAACTTGCCACTCAGTTCATTTGAATATCAATATAGTTGCTAACTAGCAAATGTACAAATGCTAAAAACACAAAGCTATAGCCAAGTTATCAACACTACTTGCATCAAAACTAATGAAATTTAATATCAATCCTATGGAGAGACATTTCATTTCACTTGAATTTCAATAACAATAATGTCAACGATAAAGCATCACTTCAATGCCATTAACAACAGAATAAAACTAACAAAAAACAAGAGCAAATCACCACTCAAAGCTCTTTATCAACCAAGCTAACCAAGGTCAAAAATACTTTACTCAGTATTTGATATTAAATCTTCAATAGAACTTAATTATAGATAACATATCATCAAGGAGTGATTCACCACATACAAGACTCAATGTAATCCAACACCACAGACTAAACACAACCAAATGATATCGACAAATGTAAAATCAACATGCCAATATAGAAAAACCATGCAAGCCATGACATGATCTTGTGCAACGCTATCCAGTAAAGCAAGTCTATCATTGCTAAATCATCATTGAGCAAAGCGAGTGTTAACAGTCCTCAACGAAGTTTATAAGCAATCATTAATTGCAGAGCAACCAATAATCACTCTTCAACTTGCCTTCACAAGACCTGAATACTAAATTCATGTTTTTGAGTCATATACTTATCCAACATTAACGTAATACCAAAATATGGAATATGGACAAATACAGATTAAATGACCACTTGAATCCAATTGAACCCCAATAAGCTCACCAACACATTTAAGCAATAGCTCCAAATATGCCTTGAAAAAACCAGTTATGTATGATCAACACTCAGCCAAAACTAAAGTGAAGGTCATGAGGGTTTAGGGTTTAGGGTTTACTGGTTGCTTTTATTTGCTGTGCAGTCTTTGCTGCTCACAATCTCCACTAGTAAACCAAATTGACGCAATTCAGTTTAGGGTTTAGATTTAGGTGCATTTAGGATTTCATACCAAAGACACCCTGGTTTAGGGTTTAGGGTTTAGGATTTAGGTGGACACGTACACCAAATGTGTGCGAGATGTCTTTGAAGGGGTGAGGAGTGAGGATGTTGTTTCCTGGAACTCTCTCCTACTTGGTTATGTTGAAAACACAGATCTATCAGTAGCTCTAGACCTGTTCACCAGCATGGACTGTGAACTAAGCTCTGTCACCTACATTGTTGGACTCAAGGCATGCAGAGGCTTGGCAAGCGAGAAAGAGTCAGACAAAGGACTCTACCTTGAGAAGGGAATTACAATTCATAAAGGAGTGAAAGAGCATGGGTTTAAGACCGACATAGTTGTGGCAACCAACTTCCTAGAGATGTATAGCAACTGCAGCAGCATGCATCATGCCAGGGAGGTCTTTGAAAGCATGTTTTCCCAAGATGCTGTGGCATGGAACACTCTCATACTGGGATATGTGGAGAATGGGGACTATGCAGTAGCTATGGATCTATTCAGCATCATGGACTGTGAGCCAAACTGTGTGACTTATTTGGCTGCTCTCAAGGCATGTGGAGGCTTGGCCAGCGAACCAGAGTCAGAGAAGCAACATCATCTTCAGAAAGGTATAGGCATTCACAAAAAGCTCCAAGAAGGGGGATTTGGATCTGATATAGTTGTGGCGATCACCTTAGTCGATATGTATGGCGAATGTGGTAGCATGCAGAACGCTAGGGATGTGTTTGATAGAATGATCCAGTGCAATGCTGTTACTTGGACCTCCCTCATCCTTGGATACGTTGGGAACGGCCAGTGCTCAGAAGCCATGGATTTATTTGCTAGGATGGACTGTGAGTGAGGTTTTGTTACATATGTTGCTGCTCTCAAGGCATGTGGAAGTCTGGCTACTGAAAATGAGTCAGAGAAGCAGCCATGTCTAGAGAAGACCATTGCAATTCACATAGAAGTGGAGGATCAAGGATTTAGTTGTGACATAGTTCTGGCCAACACTCTGGTTGCGATGTATGGAGATGCCTCACGAGATTCTCGAGGGCCAGATTGTGCTTATTCCAAAGAGGGGGGACTTGCAGGAGTTGAGGAATTGGAGGCCAATCACCATGCTCAACACGTCTTAACAAGGTCTATGCCAAAGCAATGACCCTCAAGCTCCAAGCTGTTATGCCATTGATCATCCAGGAACAGCAAACAGGCTTCGCTCCAGGGTGGCAAATCGCAGAAAATATCTGGATGTACCTTCTAGCTCAAAGATGGGCAGAGATCTCCAACCAACAAACTGCAGCATGGCTACTCGACTTCGAGAAGGCCTATGATCATGTGGATTGGAGGTTCCTAGAAATGTGTATGCACATGATTGGCATCCTGAGGGAGATGGTGGCTAGGATCTCATTACTATACTGTGGAGCTGCAAGCAAAGTCACAATCAACGGAGAGACAGGACCAAGTTTTCAGTTGGGACACTCGGTATGCCAAAGGTATCCACTGGCACCCTATCTTTTTTTATTCGTGGCTGAGGCCCTAGGCACGTTTCTAGCAGAAGGTGGGCGCATCATAGGTCTCACCCTGCCGGCTGGGAGATAGCAACTTCTGGGAACAGCAGGGGTGACTTAGGAACTCCTGGATGGAGCATTCGCAGATGACACAGCCTTGTTCCTACTCACTACCAAGGAGAACCTGGACGCAGCAAAGAAGGTTCTGGAGACTTTCAACCTTGCAACTAGTGCAGCAATCAACTGGAACAAATCAGTGGGTATCAACTGGGGGCGACCAAGCATCGAGTCCTAGGGCCAAGGCATTGGCTTTCAGTGGCTCAAACCAGGAGAGGACACCAGGTATTTGGGGATCCATTGGTACCCGGTTTAGTGCAGTGCTCTAGGATGACACCTTGCTCCGAAGGATACGAACATCGATCCAGTAGTGGGCTCCTTAGAAACTCAGTTTGCTAGTGAGAGTGGTTGTTGCCAGGAGCATCATCCTGCCCAGCATTTGGTACCACCTCTCAATCTGGGCTGTCCCTGAACACACTCTCAGAAAGGCACGCACAATGGTTCATAAGTATGTGTGGCGGGGTGTGCTTGTCACATGGAGGATCATGGCCAAGGTCGCCTGGCAATCCACAGCACATCCACAAGTCCTAGGACTTGGAGTAATCGATTTGAGCAACATGGCGAAGGCGCTATAGTACAAAATCCTCCTTATGGGCCTTCAACTAGGTAACCAACCTTGGATACTCATGTTTAGGTAGAGCTTGTTGGCAATCCAGCCTAAGCACAACACTACAAGACCATGGGAGAAGGATCCACGTTGGCTCTTTGCTGAAGGGCTGAAGCAAGTAGTCAAGGGTAGCACTCTGGTTCAGGGGCTTCTCAGGCTATGAAGCGCGTTTCTAGTCAATAGGGAAATGCCAAGGCGAGCGGAGGATTGGTTGAACCAGCCCCTATTCTTCAATGACCTCTTCAAAGTGGACGATAGGACACTGGGCAGAGAGGACCACTACACAATCTGGAGAAAGCTGCATAGCGCAGGCTTCCGAACTCTTAAGCAACTGGTGAGGGTTCTGGACAAAGATAGGAGGAAAACTACAACGCATATGCAGGTCTTTAACCCAGGATGGTGAAGGAAAGTCCACCTCAATATTCTTCGCATCATCAGAGCAGTGAGTGAGGTGAAGAAGGGGCTGCTTTGGCCTAGGCGTTGTCTCAAACCTGGAGACTTTGTGGCTCTGCAACGGGACGTGGAGCCAGACAGGGAACAAGTCGGCTTGGGGGCTTAGACACGGGCGTTTATGACCCCAACACCAGCTTGGGAGGATGGCGATGTGGAGGTATGGTTCATTGTGTCTCTTGAACAAAATGTTGGGCATTCTTTTTGGGTTATGAGAGGCGACATGCTGCTGCCAACAGGAGATGAACAAGTCATGCTGATGGTGACGGATGACGAAGTCAAGGGCAGGATTCGAGTAATACGACAGGCTCCAAAGCAATCAGTGGTGGTTCAATCGTTGGCCACACTAGAGGGGGATGGCATTCTCCGATGGTGTGACAGCAGCTCATTAAGGATCTGGATTGGGACCCAACAGCATGGAAATGAGGAGTGAGGAGCTTCTTCTCATTTGGAGTCAAAGAAGCAAGGGATGGTCTCTTGACCAGTAGGGAGGAGGCCCGAGGGGAGATCCCCAAACTCTGGAAGAAATGGATCAAGTAAGGAGTTGAAGCAAATCAGGTGGTGGGCAACACACTTGCATTTTGGAAACTACTAGTACAAGAGAAAGTCAAGGCCACTTCTTGGTTGGTGGCAAACAACGGGCTGCCAGTAGGACAGCAATTCCAAGACGAAGCATGCCAATGATGCGAGTGTGGCGAGCTAAAGACAGCGCGACATGCACTTTGAGAATGTGACGTGGCAAGAGAGGTATGGCGACAGATCTTCAAAGCAATGCAGGAATTAGGAGACATTCCGGAGTTTGAGGCTTGGAGTAGGGATATCCTCCATTGGTTTGAGGGAGCTAGAGGTCCAGACACTGGTCCAGCTTGGAGGTGCATTCGCTGTTACGGATGACACGGATGGAACACATAAGTCCAGTGGGATGCGACAGGGGCTGAAGTCGGGATGTCAATCTAGAAGGCAATGGGCCACGAGTGCTGGTCCATTTGGAGGGCGACAGGAGTGCAGGCACTCTGGGAGGCATAGAACCATTGTCACTTTAATGGGCAACAAACAAAGATATCAGTAGTGGTGGCATTGTGGTGGAGAGTCACTCTTGCAGCAGTGCGTCTTCACTACACCATCCTGAAAAAGCGGGCGAAACTGAGGCAGCTCGAGGAGTGGAGATCTAAGTGGCTTCCATGCTTCGGCAGATTGGTAGGTGGCGAGATTCGTTGGCAGTGGCACCCCCTGGACTCTGTTCTACGGTCAGCTCATGGGGGAGACTTGGATATCAACATGATTCAATTAAGATGACCACGTCCACTTCTACTCCAGGTCTAGGTCCAGCTACGACACAAGAGGATCACGTAAAGTAGCTCATTGAGAGGGTGGCACGCCCAATTTTTGTATTAGTCCAGGTAATGTACATACACGTTCAGTGATGTATGGCAAATGCGGCAGCATGGACTGGGCCAGGGAGGTGTTTGAAAAGATGCACAGCAAGGATGTTGTTTCATGGAACTCTCTCATACTTGGATATGTGGAAAATGGAGATGGCCTGGCAGCCATGGGCTTACACGCTAGAATGGATTGTCAGCCAGACTTCACATATGCAGCTGTGATTAAGGCATGTGGAAGCTTGGCTGAACTACAAGCTGGGAAAAAGATTCATGGCAGCATGAACAGAGCTGAAGAGTGTTTCAACAACATGCCCTCTCCAGATATAATCTGCTGGAACTCATTGCTGGGAGGATATAGTTCATTAGGAGATTCGACTCAAGTATTCAGTCTGGTGAAGAAGATTCAGAAGGCTGGGCTTAACATTGATGCCATCACATTCATTTCTATTCGCATGGCTTGCAGCCATGCAGGCCTGGTGGAAGAGGGGAAACATTACTTCGATTCCATGACAGGATTGGGCATCAGGAAGAGTGTGGAGCACCATAACTGTATAGTCGACATTCTTGGCCGAGCCAACAGACTTGAAGAAGCACTAGTAGTTGTGAACAGCATGCCAGTTGGAGCTGATGCTGTAACTTGGAGGATTCTGCTCGGATCCTGTAGGAAATGGGGGAACGTGGAGATTGGCAAGGTTGCATTTGAGGCACTGGTGCAGGCTGTTGGCACAAAGGAAGATGCAAGTGCCTACGTGCTGATGAGTGATCTCTACGGGATCATGAGTTCTATAGACAAGTTTCTGTAGAATTTGGTTCATATTGTTGATTTAAGTTGACAATCGCTCACAAAGATTGGGTTGGAGTTGGAGTTGAGTCTTGTCTTCTTATGGCTTTGACCCATAGAGCCATGAGTTTCACTTTCTCACTGCACCGTCCAGCAAACTTTCGGAAGAAGGAAATTCTGGAAGATATAGTCTCTTCAACATCATCTACGATATCCCTAGTCCAAAGCTGTAACCAAAAATCAGAAGAGGGAGAGAAAAGAAAAAGCTTTGCTTGAAGCCAGACCTTTGAAGCAACTCTGTCCACAAGTCTGCGCAGCAGGAAACCTTCTCCTAATTTTGCGTGCACTGGACCCCAATTTTCCTGAGACAGAGGACTATAATTCGTGCATCAACCACCACAGTTTTGAGTTGTACCTTGAGCCAGTTCCAAGCTGTGATACCGTTGGTTATTGTTAACCCGGAGAAGATGTCGGTGACGTTTTGAGGCCGCACCTGAAGGAAAAGTATGACAAATATACGAACATGGAAGAGTAACGGGACTAACCGCTGGAGATAGTGAAAAATTCAAAGCTTCAACGACGAGGTCAGGGTCGGAAGATCCTGCCAGTGTGCCTGGGAATGGCAGTTTCAGCTTAGAGATTTGTAGTTTCAGGAGTGAATGACTTACTCAATGCCAGGTTACGTTCCTCCAACTTATCTGAAAATCTGTAAATTTCAAGCAGCTCATCGAATCCATATCGATTACAATCTTTCATCACACTTGCATATGCGGCCTGTGAGAGCAAATTTAGTAAGACAAGGCAACATTGGTCAAAGACCATTACCTTCAACATGTTTGACGCCAGGGGGACCATCGCCTTGTTCCTGAATCGCCTCTTGGCTTCCAATATGGTTTTCTCATGCCCAAGAACCACTAAAGCATGCAAAAGTTCCTCCCTGAGACCGGAATTCGAATGGCTTTCACCTTGAACGGCTTCCCAGCCGAGTTTGCTGGAGAAACTTGACAATAGTAAAAGGCAAATATTATACAGAGAATAGGGACATACCTGGCTGCGTTTTCCATTAGTCCAACAAGGAATTTACTTACTCTTTCTTTTGAACTTGGGATTGCAACAGATACCACATCAAGTAAAGAGAGTGCAACCTGCAGTCATGAACGACATTGGGTTTCGTAAGAACTGCAAAAACCAGAAGCTACACGTACGGTGATCATATGTGACAAGACGGTGGGATCATCTTCCTGTCTGTAAACCTCCAGGAGCGACAATAAAGCAGACAGGGGCTGTCTTGTGGACTGGCATAAGGCAAACATATCGTCCAGAACACCTGTAATAGGATTGGTCTGGGGATAATTCTGGTAAAGAAAGACCCGCCTAGTCTATCGACAGGAGAAAGCCAGCCTGAGGAAATTGAGTCTTTCAAAGCTGTAAGCAGTTGTTCATCATACTCCACGCGATAGAATCCGCTTTGTCCAATGTTAAGTTTCACTACAGTTCGTGCTGGCAGGCGAACTATACACTTTCTGTCTTTTAGCAATATACTTTGTTGGCAGTTGTAAGATCCCGAAATAAGTTTAACAGGAACTATCCATTGCCCCTCGGCGGGCTGTCCACTTGCAAGAAACCGAGTCTAGTGCGCGAAAGAAGTTTGCATTTGAGACCAAATATAAAATCTATGAGACAGTCTTACCTGTTCAATCTCTAGCTCATGATCATTCAGCATTGTGGCCTTCAAAATTGGATACCCGTTCAGCTTTGTCCAAGAGCACATCAAGTCTTTGATTGGTTTTCCAGTTACTTCCTGGATACAATCCCATAAATCGTCTGACTTTGCGTTACTAAAGGCAAATTTCTCCATGTACAGTTGCAAGCCTCTCTGCAGGAGGGAAAAAGAAAAGAAAAAGATAGAATTCCACTTGTTAACTTAAGGCTAACTACTGACCTGGATATCCGTTAGACCAACATAGTCTTGCAGCATATAAATTAGTGAGGCTCCCTTGCAATAGCCAATAACATCAAAGACTTCCATGGTTTGACGAGCATGCTGCACTTCCACCTGTGAAAGCCGAGTGTAAAGTAGTATGCTTGATAAAAATTCAGACTTGAGGTACCTCAACTGGATGAGTTGATTCCAAGGCATCCAACTTGAAAGCATCATACATGATTTCTTTGTGAAATTCCATCCAGATGTTCCAGTCGGGGAAAAGATAATCGACAGCCATATAACTAATCTGCAAACCACCAGCATTGATCTTAATCTCAACACTATTGAAAGTACATACCCAAGTAGCCATGCCTTCATTAAGCCAGATATGAGTCCACCATTCTATTGTGACAAGGTTACCAAACCACATGTGCCCAACTTCATGAGCCACGTTTATAGCAACCTGCAAAAATACACGGAAAAAATTAGCATCAGTGCACAACGTGCTTCAGATACAATCTCACCTCCTGTTTCTTCAAAGTTGTAGTATTTTCATCTACAAACAAAGCATCATCCATAAAAACTATAAGACCAAATTCTTCAAGAGCACCAGCCTTGAATGCTGCAACTGACACAATATCCAGCTTGGGAAGAGGATATTGCAGTTGAAAGAATCTGAAGTAAGCATAAACAGAAATGGAAAAAAGGAAAGTGCAGATTACCTTGCATAAAAAGGAAGCACTTTCAGCATTATATCGAATCCGAATTTTGCTTTCTGCAGCTGTTCAAATCTTGTGTACACTCTCGCCGGAATACCATCATCGGACACACCTTCCAGATGTTCGAATTCACCAATCGCAATAGCGGTTATGTAGGTTGACATTAGAGGAGATTCTTGAAACTCAACCATCTTGGTGTTCCCGTTTACTACCTCCTGCAGAGCAGGCATAGTGGACAGAACCATGCGATCGACAGGAACATGAACTTTAAATTTAAAACACGCCTATAAGATGAGGAGAAACAGTCAGAAGATATCGTAAAGATTGTAGTATAGTACCTTAAAGTCTGGTTCATCCCAGCAAGGGAAGCACCTTCGTGCATCAGCAGGCTCAAAAACTGTTACAGCCATGTTTTTCTCAATCCCTCCGCTCTTGTAAGTGCTGTGCAGCGGAAAAGTTTTCTATTGAAAAATATTGAATACCAGCGTACCTTCGATAAAATGCGTCAAGCTTCTCGTTGAGCAATCCATGATAGTCGATAAACAGAGTTGCTTTTCCTACATGCAGTTTTTTTTCACCGAAGTCCAACACTAGCAGTTCATTCTCTTGATCGACTGTAGATGCCGCTGGATGAACGATCTGTACAAACTAATGTGCACATCAAGACAAATTTCAAGCAGAACACTCGAAGGCAGAGAGGAAAACCTCATCGAAATCCTCCACATAGCGCAAACATAGCGATTCAGTCTCCAGAATAAGATCCGCAACATTCAGGACAACTTTGGAAACTGGCTCCACAATGTCCAGGAGAATTTGGAGCTTGCCTTTGAATGCACAGGCATCGAGATCCACCCATAGCTCCAGCTCATAGCGACGAGGCAGCACAGTTTTGGGCAATCGACTGCTCGCCATAGCTGAGCCAGGGAACTTTCTTCCCTCAACTTATATTACAAACAGTAAAAACGGATCTGCGGTCAGGATCAAACGGCAGCAGATTGTTTCTTGGGCCCTCATGATTTTTTGTGGACGTGGTATTTGCCGTCGGATGGGCAAATACCACGTTCACCCTCGATCGCGTGGTCCGCAGGGAAAAATCAAGATCGGACGGCTGTGAGGTTTTCACGGCGTGCGCCACATGGTTGCACGAAATCGGGCATCTTGGGAATATGCTGCTGTTGAGCTTTTTCATGTGAATCAAAATTGGCTGTCTAGCTTCAAAATTGAAGTGCATCTTCACTGTCCTGATCATTCATGTGCCAAGTTGTGTGTGCTGCAAATTGAAGGTAAGTCCTGAAAACTAGGATTGAGCTGAGCAGCTGAGTGGGAGACATATTTTCTAAAACTGGCTGAGGTGTTGAAATTCACCATCAAGGGCGTCAACTTGGATTTTCTGGGTTCCTTGTGGATGAGATTGTTGACCTGGCTTTTGTGATGAGTTGCGTAAAAAATTGGCATTAGTGGTTGTAGTAGAGCTTGCAATCCAATAAACAGTTTATTATAAAAGTGAATTTTGGAACTTTTAATTTTGACTTCTTGAAATCAATTTTTTAAGTGTCTTCAACACCTTGCATTGCACATATTGGTCATTTTTTCAAGAAGTTACAATTAAAGATCTAAAACAAGACTCAAGAGAACAAGGTAGTGGTGTTCATTTGAACAAAGGCAATGAAGCAGCTGAAGAAGTATAGCAAGCAAGAGCAAAAAATCTACGAGTTGTGTGCTGACTGTTCTTTGCTATTGGAGAGTTGCGTGAAGGATGTGAGCATCGATGTAAACCATTCTATTATTTCAAACGACAAATCGGTCAAGTGCTAGATTCTTTAGTGGGACGAACTGAAATAGACGGCGGTCCTTCCACTTCCAATGGATCCCTTTCTGGTTTAAGCAATTCAACATCATTAGACCCCACCTCCTCTTCTGCCATGGTGGCTCCATCTAGCACTTGACCGATTTGTTGTTTGAAATAACAGAATGGTTTACATCGATGCTCAACACTACACATCCTTCACGCAACTCTCCAGTAGCAAAGAACAGTCAGCACACAACTTGTAGATTTTTGCTCTTGCCTGCTGTACTTCTTCAGCTGCTTCATTGCCTTTGTTCAAATGAACACCACTACCTTGTTCTCCCGAGTCCTGTTTTAGACCCTTACGGCAATGAAGCAGCTGAAGAAGCAACCAGAAGTTCTTTCCGATCAGAATTGCGGTGAGGGTGGCGGGGAACAAGCATTGTAGTGGATTTGCTTGCAATTGAGGAGCAATTGACATATGGCGGGTCAGAACTCTTCAACAGCAGGTTCGTCAGCAGCAGATTGCTTGGGAGAATGCGATTTTCAGGTACTGGTCTAGGCTATGTAGACCAATTAGTGTCTTTTTGAGC